CCGAAAACGAACGATCTTTCGCTAGGTTAGTTGGCAAAGGTCAGTACCGTGACCGCAGCACGCCTCGAACCGACGGCATTGCCACAACACCAACCCATCATGTGACTACAACACTAGTTACGATTTTCTCTGACCCGGCTATGAGTCGCACAGGAGTTTCAAATTAATTCCAGCGTCACCGCCCATAGGTAGACGCATCGGAGAAAATATTCATATCGCATAATCAAGCACAGGTCAGCCCCAATGGACATGATTTGACGACGGGTCAGCATCGTAATACACTTCCCAATTAACATAACCGACGGGCAAATCCACCCCCCACCTCCCGGCCTTTCAACGAGAGAAGAGAGAACGAGGACCACACGCGATTCACGTCCCTTGCCTAGGTTTGAATATTCTAAAGTTGACGCAATAGTTCTGAGGTGCGTACATAAGAACCATGTCACTGAAACTCAGCAGACACCCACTCCCCAAAAACGCACAGAACGGCACCTGCCGAGACCATAAAAACTGAGATCCAACTAATATGATTTATGAGAAGGGAGAAGTTATGCAATAGAACGCCACATCTGAACGCCGGACAACAACCACCAACGAGCTCCCACACTATACAGTCACGTGTAGACTACTAAAACCTCACCAAAATCAAGAGGTCGAAACCCACCGCTAACCATAACACAAGTACTTTCAGTGAGTATGTTTTAGAATGATGTGCAGACACAAAACTCAAAAATGGCTCCAGCTTTGAAGTAGAATGATGAAGGGACTGAGTACAAAGATGCAGACACGTAGAACACGGGCTGGAGTAGACATGCACGTTAAATTGCAACACGTTACCAGGGTGAGAAGGAACAGCCGTGAATTTTACCTTCACAGTGTACAGAAAATGCGCAGGTCTAACGTGAAATCCGATAGCAATCTCGCAACAAAGGATATAATGATTAGCGAGGACAACAGGAATAAACCTAATCCCGCTTGTCACCTTCAGGGGAATTCTTTTCTGCTTCTAAAATGGACAATCACAGGACCTATTGCTTACCGTCATTATCAACATCGGACCTCCACAGAGTCAAGTTATCACGAAGCAGTTGCATTATGAGGGTTGAGTCCTTGTAACTCTCCTCATTGAGAGTGTCAAGTTCAGCAATAGCATCATCGAACGCCTGCTTGGCAATTTGACAAGCTTGCTGGGGCTTATTCATTATTTCATAGTAGAAAACAGAAAAATTCAAAGCCAGACCAAGCCGGATAGGGTGCGTTGGCTGAAGCTCAGCTGTGCCAATATCGGTGGCGACTTTGTAAGCATCTAAGCTGCGCTTTGCTACCTCATCCCGCTCAGAAGATGTAGCAATCTCGGCAAGGTATCTATTGTAGTCACCCTGCCTAAACAGCAACTTAGAATCGTCACCAGCTTACATCTTGTAGTAAAATACTTTGGAATCAGCATTCTGTGCACGAGGAATGAGTGTCTTTTCAAGAAGTGACAGTATCTCATTAGCCATTTGCTTTAACTCTTTCTCAACTTGTTCGCGACAGGCCCTGATGTTCTTAACGCGCTCATTACCTTCATCCTTTGATTCAATAGCACTAATGATTCTCCACGAGGAACGACGAGCACCAATAACATTTTTATAGGCAACAGAGAGGAGGTTACGTTCCTCAACAGTTAATTCGGGAGCAGATTCATCATTAAGATCAACAATCTTGTGCATGAATTGAGCCATGTCTACAAGCGTGCAACATGATACATTTCCGACAACTCACCATCATATCGCTCAATTTGTTCAGCCAACTTTGCTTTAGTGAGAAGGGCCTCGCGCGGACTCTTGACCGCCATCACCAGGCTAGGTATACAGACAATGGCTAATGGACGATGAAAGTGGCCAGTTAGTGGTAGAGCTAAACAAGCACCTTAAAATTGGACAAATGTACAGTAGTGCGAGTTTAAAAATATTTTAAGCCGAAGATCAACCCAACTCTTCCAAAATTAAATTGTGAACACAATTATTGGTAAAGAGACTGCCATAAAGATAAGAGGCATTGCAGCCCACAACTCAAATACTTGGCTTGTGTGACTTCGGCTCAATGCAAACCGCGAATGAAGTCCCCTTATTTTAACCTGCCAAAGTAATTTGCACTGTTAGCTCATAGTATCCAATCAGATCGTAGTTCTAAAAGTGAATTTTTGCATGTTTGTGGGAAAGCATTTTGCCCACTTAACTCAGCTTCATGCTGTTGAATAACAAAGAAGTCATGAATTGAATTCCATTCTTGCTTAGAGTGTGTTTGCCACCAGTATTTATAGCTTCATGCGAAACATTAGTGTCTCCTCTGATCGCATTGCGGATAGTCTCGCTGCGTGTTATTCCATATCGGATACAATTTATTGCGTTCTGCACAACTTAATCGCATCAACTGTGCTTTGCTAAATGTAAGTGCAGGGTTAATTTGAACGCCGAGCAAATGTAGCCCTCAGATGCTCTCCGTGAGCTACTCGTACCTACGTAGAAATATCGAATAAATCATCACAAACAGTCACCCTTATGAGTAGGCCAAAATTAATGATGAAGTGTGTAGTTACAGCCTGTCTACCCTCTGGTCCCTGGTTCTCAGACTTTAAGAGGAAGTTGGTTGTAGACGGTTTATTAGGCATCTCTGTAAGAAGGATGGGGGGACTAAAATGCAGATGCGGTGAGCAAGAGATGTCAATCTCAGGGAGGCTCCTCGTCGACCTCCTGCACGTGATCCACGTTCCCAATTGCCTCCCGCCTCTCGCTTATATAAGTCCACTTAAACAAGCTAAAATATATTACAAAGAGATCGTGGAGGAAAGTTCTGCATGTCATATCTCAGTTTTACACAAACACTTAAGCAATTTTTCTAGGCGTTATACACCTTCGCTTTTATCTTCGTCACCATCGTTTAACGTTGTGCCCATTTTAATCCCCCAACTGCCTAAATTTGACAACAAACCATTTTATCTGAGCAGCGTACCGATTTCATTTGCCGCATGAATAATGATTTGCATAACGTTATGCGTGCGAGATTTCGAATTGGCGAAAATTGAGGTCACTCATTCCTCTTCTGATTGGTGTCTGTGCTTGCGTTCGTTCTTATGGAGGTGGCGTCGGCAATCCCGTACACTGCAATGTTGACTTGTAAAATCTGTGTTAGTAAAAGGGCTAAATATACCTGCCCACGGTGTTTTATAAATTACTGCTCCTTGAATTGCTACAGAGATCGTCGACATGGTAAATGTTCGGAACAATTTTATCGCGAGTGTTGCGAAAATGCCATCCGAGGCTTGGCAGTTGATGACGAAAGGCGTCATCAGATTGAAAGGATGCTGTCACAAGATGCGGATTTATGCAACTTTAATAATGTAGAGTATCAGTCTGAAGAGAGCGAGGAGGAAAGTTCTTCCGAAGATGATCCTGGTGATTTATCGGAGAGGTAAGCTCTGTACATCTTGGTCTCTCGATTTTTACTTGGGACGAATTGCTAGTTTTTCGTTGACAATCTGCAAAGTGTAAAATGGTTAACTCGAATACCATTTTTTACCTAGGTTAAAGGGTATTGACATGACTTCGGGTGATATCGATACCGAGAAAGTTTGGGAATTGTTGTCAACTAAAGAGAAACGAGAATTTCATAGATTACTTGCAACAGGCAATATCTACGCCATTGTGCCTACTTGGACGCCTTGGTGGCAGTCAGCTGCTCAGAAGCTTGTCACTTCCTTTCCTGATGATTTCATTGATGCCAGTGAATCAAAGCCGATAAACGTAGCCGCACAACCGCTGTCGGAACTGCTGTCAGTTGAACCACATCCTTCCGTGATTTTCTCACTCGCCGAAACCTTATTAGGATTTGTTTTTGTCTCTAGGTAAGCTTATTCTCACTATCATAAGGATACAGATTATAATCCTCAACTAGCTGTTGCTGAATTCTGGGAAATGTTGAGACTAAGCCAATAAAACTCCCGCCTTCTCGGTTCACCTCTGCTTATTACGGCAATTTCTACTTTTCTATAGTACTGAACTTACAGGTTAGGTTCCTGAATTTTAACAAAACAGTGCGAACTCTGCTTTCAGATATTTCAATGGTGACTACCTAGCCGACATGCACGTGGCTGCTTGCCACCTTCTCCTCGAACTTGTATCATATTTTCAACCCCCAGTTACTCGGAAAAGTGCTCCGAACAAAACACGAATCGTCAAGAGCCCCGCAACTAAGATGATCGCTTTTACCAACTTTTCCGAAGTCTTAGCCTCCTTGCAGTCGCGCCTAGGTCGTAATCATCTAACGTGCTCACATAAATTGATGCTCCTGCTAACTGATGATCTTCACTGTTTGCTGCAGAAGTTCGACATATTTGTGGATCGCGTTCTGTGCGAAATTATACAGATTATGTTGGCGACCAAGACAAAGAGCATTCTGGCTGCATCGGCTCTTCACAAAGTGAAGTTTCTCCGTGCTTGCGTTGGAAAGCGCGACCAAGCCTCCGATAACTGGTGCAAGAGATATGTTCCACCTCTTTTTGATGCAGTGGAGACGTCGATATGTGAACAAACGATGAGAATTGATGCTGAAGGAACACAAGAACGATGGCGTAATCCGAGAAAGTCGAAGGCTGCTGGCTCGGGCTGGCGCAATATTCTCCGAGATAATCACAACCACCAAACTTCCTCCACAGAAGACATGAAACTGAACGTTGAATACAAAATTACGTAAATCCATGGTTCTAATTCTGCATTTGCGAGCATTATACAGTTGGAGGGTCATTTGGAGGTAGCCAACCAAGGGAGGGACACAGTAAAAGGTGAATTCGTCCGCTAGAATCTTACATGCTTCCACTCTATTGTGCTAGATTACAATTCAACACATTGATATTCGCTCGGAAAACTGTTCAACTCTCTGCACCTGGTTCTAAGAGCGACGCTTGAAAAAAGGTGTAGGTGCTGCGCCGCAACTTGGGAATGCTTACGACAAAACCAGATGAACAATGCCATCAGACACAGAGCTAAGTATATTTACAAATAAATACATTATTTAAGCAGCTTGTTGTTGCTGTTGTTGTTTCCCAAGAGTGGCTTCTTTCCTGGATGCGTTCTGCAGCTCGTAGACGTCACATTCATCAGCAGGTAGCTGCACGTATCGAACAATCGAACCTCTAATGAAGCAATTCCTAACCGATAACTGTGTCCAATTAAAAGTATACAAAGTTACCATGTATGGATGTTTCTCTGGGTCTGTAACAGTTATATCCGAAAGTCGGAAATTGTGGTACTGGTCAACAGAGTGGAGGGTGCCGTGAATACTAGGAGCATGTTGCTTTACAAATCACGAGGCATACCATAAGTCATTTTTTAGCTCCACAACAACGTCCTTTCCAACGAGCGTTTTGAAAAATGAATAGAATATCTAAGGAAATAATGATGAATCCAACAAACCATCCTGCAGGTAAGACAACGTCCCTTACAAGCGCAGCGGTTCAAGAGATGGTTCGCCAAAACAATGCCACTAAACAACAAAGTAAAATTTATTAAATTTATGTTAGTAGATAAGTTATGAAGCTGATTAATTTTAATTTGAAGTCAACTTGGACTATGACAGGTGACCGCGCCATTTGCAGTGTTATGCTGCTTGTCTGGTAGTTGACCTGAGTTGCTTCGCCCTCCTGGAGGTATTTAGTATAACTTATTTCCAATTTTCGAGGTCTTCTTTCATTTATGCACTGCGAATTTTTTTTAACAATCTTGAATTGCAATGAACCGAAATTCCACATTGTCTTTGTGCAATCGTCTTATGCAATTTACTGTTTTTAGGACTTGGTCCCTTTCTCTTTCCAGTCCTTATGTATTCCTAGTGCCATATCCACCTTGCTTGTAATGAGTCCAGCGCAAATTTGTAACCCGTTCTGAAAATGGACAAACGAGAAGTTTTAAGAGAAGCCCAACGACGCGTTCTCGATAGCGACGCTAGAAGACGCCGACTTCGCAAAACTCTTGAAATTCTCGAACAAGATAATCACGTTGAGGATTGCCAGAGTGAAACTAAGACTACGAAAAGGCCGAAATTCGAAGATGTAATCTGTGATTTTGCTTCGTTAGCATCTCCTCAAGCTCTGTCTCAGAATCGATGCAAAACATGTTAGGTTTGGTTTTACCCTAAATTTTGACCTGTGGAAATGTTGCTATTCCGCGTACTGATTACTGACGCTACTACGGTTATTACTCTTTTAGACCTCTTATCATTACAGCCAGTTCCACTTTTGTTTGAAGTCCAGGTCGTGCGCGTTTTCTTGAATCTTAAAAGTTACTTGATGCGAGAAGTGAAGATGGTAAAAACAAGCTTGCGGCTCTTTGTAGGATACTCCTGGTCAATCAAAGCGTCGACGCCGGACTACGATTGGAAGGGCGAAGTTCAAAAAGACGTTTGAGCTGCTGTTAGACGAGGAATACCAGGCGACAAAGGGAGGCCAAGTTGGCGCCTCGTATTTCACTGCCGCTGTCCCCGATAGTCGTCTACCGCCTCGAAAGTTCTGTTCCGTCTGCGGTTTTCTCGGTGCTTACGTCTGCGTGGTATGCGGCTCGCGCTATTGTAGCATCAAGTGTCGCGACGTGCACAACGACACCCGCTGCCTCAAGTGGGTTGCCTAACTATCCACCCCTTCCCCTATTTTCCTCTTCGTCAGATCGCCTTTCGTGGTCATCAGATTCATGTACGGTGTGTCTTGTCGCTTTGTGGTATTTTTTTACTGACAGCGTCCTAAACCTCTTACGTTATGTACGTAGTCCAAAATAGATTATCCTTTTGAGGCGCTTATTTTTACCATCTCATACAAAGTCACCTGGGGTATTAGTCGTTTAACTTTCAGGACAATTAGTGTATACCCTCCACTCGGCAATGTGTTGCAGGAATTCACCATTTTTGACAGTATGTTTTGGGGGTGCAATTATTCATTTTTTATATCTGAAGTGATTTTTTTATAATTAGACGATCCTGAAGTCCGTCAAATGCATGCTTCAAGTTTGGTTTAAAATTGGATTGTCAGCATGAAGTCTGTTCTGTCAAGGTCGATTGTGCTACTTCGTGTGAGAAGATTCAACAGCGTTCGATCACATTTATCAGTTGACGTAAGAAGGATCTTTGGCGGTATTTAGCGAGTGGTTTCGGTAATTTCCAGTGCCTACATAACGCTGAAAAGGGTTGAAAGGCGTCCGTTGGCGTACCTTCGTGAAGGTTGCATTCCTCTGATGATATTCCACTGGCATCGTGTGGACAGTTGGCTTGTATTTCCCATATTCGGAGTTGGTTGTTTCATATATTGGGTTACTTGGTTGCTTAACATAACCACTCAGTAGCTCTGAACTGCATTATTTTAGGAGCTCGAGAGCATACCAGACTCAATAGGTTGGTGAGAATTATCAGCCGATGGGAATTTTGCATCCTGCTCGGTTAGGTCTTCTGGTTCCTTGCATTGAGAAATTGGGCGACCCTGTTCTTGGAACGACTTCCTAGAGCAACTTCGCGATTGACTGAAATCCAATCTCAAAGTGTTAG